GTTGGGTGCGGGGGTGCGGGGTGCGGGGGTGTTGGGGGCGGGGGTGCGGGGTTGGGGCAGGGCCGGGGTTGWTTTTGCGGGGGCGGGGGTCGGGTAGCCCCGCGGCGGGGGTTCGGGGTTGAAACCCCTACCCCGGCTTGGGCCCCGGGGATCCCCGCGTGACAACGCTGAAATCCATGAAGGTCGGAGTCCGACCCGCACGAACGGAGTAAGCGTAGAAATCCTCCCAGGCGTCGGAAGGACCGCCACACAGGCGCGTGGAGAGGTGAGCCACCCACGTGTCGGGTGCGGCACCCATGAGCTGGAGCGTGCGGGTGGCAGACTATAGCCACCGAGACACGCGTATGCCTGTACCGTCATACAAGGCAATGTCCGTCAAGCGGACAAGTGGTGCACCACCGTTTTGGCGGCGAGGAGAACGGGAAGCAGGGGACTGCGCTACGGCTGAATAAGTCGGCGCAGGTCCTGGAGGAGGGGGCGCAGCTAACTGTACACCCGGGCCGCATGGTGGAGCGGCGGGGGAAAAAGCGGCAGGCTGCACGGGAGTTGCGGTACAAGAGGTCGTAGCAACCAAGGGGATGGGGAGGAGGTAGGATGGGGATGGGTAGGGTGCAGGGCGAGGGAAGTGAGCCTGCATGGAAGGAAGAGTAGAGGAAGAAGGGGGTGCGCCAGAAGGCGCGGCCACCTATGACGGTGGGGGAGGCTGAAGGCGTGAGAGGGCGAGGTCGGCCCGGAGCTGGGCRATCTCGTCCTCGAGACCTCGAACGTAGGTCGTGCGAGGGGTAGCAGGAGGAATAGTAGGGGAAGTGGACGCACAAGCGGCACGGGGCATCCCAGAGGGGGGAGAGCCAGGTGGCGCTGCGGTCGTGCGAAGGGTGGGGAGGAACGGGGCACCCGGAAACGCCGAGACCATGGTAGCGGGTTGTGGTCCCGTGGCCGTCATGACCGGAATCTGGGCGGGTGTGCCCGTAGACTGAGGGAGGGCCTGGCTCATGGCGGCCGTCGTGCTAGGGGCGTGGACAGTCACCAAGATGGCCGGGTCGGGGGCAGCGGAGGAGGAAGCTCCGCCGTGGCTACCCTGTCGGAGGATGGGGTACCCGGAATGGGAGCCAGGAGATGAAGGACACGCAGCGTCCTGGAGTAGCTGCATGCCGGCGGCAAGGTTCGCCACCTACGCTTGTAAGGGCACGAGGGTTGCGAGTTGTGCCTGGATGGGCGCAAGGAGGGAGGTGAGGAGGGTGTGCAGATCCCCCAGGGGCTGGTGGCCCTGGTCTGTCGGCACGGGTGTGGAGCCCTGTGTCCTGGTCGTTGCCGCGTCGGCGGCGTATGACGCGCCGTCGACCATGAGGAGGTGACGAGCCGGACTGGAGGGGGCCAGGAGAGGTCCGCGTGAGTGGAGGGCGTAGGGGGAAGTCCGCGGTAGAAAGCGGCGGACGGCGGTAGCAAGGCTGGCGCGTGCGCCGTCAAAGGGGGAGGGTAGGTTCGGGTCCAGGGTGCCCGAAGAGGACGGAGAAGTAGGGGGGGGTTGAAGAACCTTAAACCTTATAAAAACCCTAAGAAAACCCTAACCGGAGTTTGAGTGGTTAGGGTACGGTGCCGGTGACCTAATCAAGAAAATAAAATAGCAAGCATAGGGGGGGAAAGGCGGGAGAAAAATAAATAAACAGCGAGATTTCGAGAGAAAAATTAAAATAAATAGCGAAATAAATAAATATTAAAAATAATTAAGGGAATAAGTAAACAAAATGTGAAAGAAAAAAAATAATATTTATTTTTTTGAAATTTTCAGCAGCATTTCCCTACCCCCCATGGGTTCAAGAATGTGCCAAAGGGAAAGGGGAGACCAAGGTGAGCACACTAGGTTTCAAGGTGCCGCAAATAAAAAGAAATTTCAAAAAATAAAAAGGAAATAATAAATAAATAAATAAATAAATAAGTAAATAAGGGGATGAGGAGGTGGGAAGAAATGAAGTATCTGATTTGTCAAAAATTTCGGCAGCATTTCGTTACCCCCATGGGGTCGAAGTGTGC